TTTTGGAGAGCTATATCATGCATTATAACTAATTAGGAAATTAGTATTTGTTATTACCTAAGCAGAGTTAATAGATATTTACCTAGTCACGTGACAGAAAATATTTATGATCTTCATATTTTATCATAGTTATTTTGTTTTATTTCTTCAATTTAAAAAGCCAAAATTGTATTAATCAACAGGGACGAATATTTCACTGGTTTGCACGAAGTTCTGGGGATGCTTTGAGAAAAAATGAACGGGGAAGCCTTTAAAATTGCTGCCAACTATCAGTTTCGTTTCCAAGCGTCAGCATCGTTTATTGTGTAATATTTTTTATTTTATTTGTTTATTTTATTTGAAATCAATTTAGCAGTTAACTGCTACAAAGTATAATGAATTATTTAAGAGATCATCAAATCGACATGCTTCTTATTTATGGTGAATGCCAAAATAATTCGAGCCGCGCCGCAAAATTATATCAGGAGCGGTTTCCAGATCGTCAAGCCACATCACACGCCTATTATCCTTGGCTCGTAGAATATTTGAAAAATGAACATAACGATCCTGTTAATGGTAATGGTTATATCGTAAGCGAAGGAGTCGAAATAAACGTCGTAGCGTACGCAGAATATGATCGTACTACTTCTATTCGCGAAATAGATGATCAGTGCCAAATTTCTCACGAAAGCGCAAGAAAAATTTTAAAGAAACATGGCTTTAGTTATTGAAGTACCAAATTCATCACCATCAGTTTGAAATTGATTTTGCAAGGCGGCTTAATTATTGCAACTGGTTTTTGAATAATCTGAAAATAAATGCTGTCTTCCATCACCATAATATTTTTTCGGATGAATCCAGGTTTACTAATCTAGGGTTGTTTTATCGAAACAGTACTCGGTATTGAGCTAAGGAGAACAAAGGCTAGTGAGAGAAGGTGCCTTCCAGGAATGTTTTGGAGTGAATGTTTGGTTAGACGTAGCAGGGCTTAATATCCTTGGTCCTATATGTTTCTATCAACCGTCAAATGGTGATATGTACTTGAAATTTTTACACAACCATATAGAACATTTTATAGAAAATCTGCGGAACAACGAACATTTATTATACCAGCAGGATGGCGCACCTGCAAACAACGCTAGGGTTGTAACTAATTACTTGAATTAGGAAGTTTCCTATAGTCGAAATTACTACCGGTGTTACTTGCATCTGATAGTGTAACTAGTATCTTTGATAAATCTGGAAGAATTATTCCAATATCTTTAAATATAAGGAAGTTATGGCATTTTCTGTGTTGGCTGCTGTAGCCGATCGGCCTCGCGTGTCGAGGTTCGGTAGTGACGTGACTTAACCATTGGAGACGCGTGACTTTTCCTAAACTGTTACCAAAAAAAGTTTATTTTGAACCTCCCAAATATAAGTTTTTGGTTATTTTAGGTATTTTATTTAAACTATTTTTAAATTAAGGTAAACATTCCTGGACTGAGCAAATAGTAGAATTTATTCTATACAACTCTGGTAACGTGAACCCATTTTTTCAACCCATTGCCTGCGACTGTACCATACTGTGGACTTATAAAAGTGTTTCGAGTCATTAGCTTTACGTAGGACGCGTGGTGTCAGTGGCGGGGTATTATGGATGATCTTATTTGGCTTTATTAATTTTATAAATAGAAGGAAATGAAAACATGCTTTGCATGCATCAAATAATTTAGAAGGACCCAAACTCCAGTGGATACGTTTGATAAATTCAATATCGCGCAGTGACCAGAAAATCAACTGTTTGAACTGAAATTTAATCCAACGCCAATAGGACTTGATGGTCGTCCGGTGTTGACTCACACCAATTTAATAATTCTTTCGTAACAATTCACGATGTCCGTTTGTTAACCAGGAGTAGAATCAATGATTCGTAACTCATTTTTGGGTATTGGTATTTGGGTGTTTTCATTATAGGTCTGGAAGAGACACCTATGGAGACGAAGCGATTGGTTATGAGCAGTTAAAAAGAGAACGGGATCTCTGTATTTAGAGATTCACGACTTGACTTGATTTTCAAGCTACTTGGCTTGACTTGACTTGATATCAAGTCAAGATCAAGTCAAGTATTTGTTTTTGAAATTCAAGTCAAGTCAAGTAGTTACACATCAAGTAACTTGAAAATCAAGTTTTCAAGCTAACTACTTGATTTTTCTTGAAAAAATGTACTTTTTTGATATTAATCTGTTCAACTGCCAAAACGGAATAACAATAAAAATCTATGTATATATAGATTTAATCTTTTATTTAAAAAACATCTAAAAACGAAAACTAACAAACTCAGTTTAATAATACATGAAATAATATGAAATAAAAATGCGAAATATTCTGAATTCTGACAATAAAACAATAGAAAATCAACAAACATGAAAATGAATATCTAAAATAAATCTTTAATATCCTCATTTGCCATCCATGATTGAGACACAAAAGGCTTCTAACGGAGTTATCGCCTAATCGATTTCTTGTTTTGGTAAGAGTTAAGGCAGCTCTAGAAAACTGCCTTTCAACTGGAGCTGAAGAAGCTGGCGTTGCCAAAGAGTCTTTGGCCATTGCGCCAATGTTTGGAAAAATGCATTCGTGTCTCTTCCACCATTCTAAAATATCTTCAGTACTGTCAGCTCTTGGGTCAGAAATATATTTGTCGATTTCGTAACGCCAGGCCATATCGTCATCTGCATTATGGGCAGGTTTTCTATTAAACAAACTTAGTAGATCTATTTCAAACTTTTCGACACTACTATCTTTACTAGGGTTTGAAGATGCTGCTACTTGAAGCGATGGTTCAGAAATTTGCAGAGAGTCAGCCCTAAAATATTGTGCTTTAAAAATATCTTCAAAATGTTTAATTGCTTCTATCTGCAACTCTTTTCCCCAATTTGTATTGTATTGGAGAATGTATCCACTTTATGTCGGGGGTCTAAGATCAGGACAACACAGTACATCCAGTTAGTCCGTTCGTAATGTCTAATGATTTTGTCCCTTGCCGCTTGAATACTATTTATAATCTTTTCATCGATTTCATCTCGATCAGGTTTATTGTCAAGTACCATAGCCCACGATTCTAGTCTATCCAGCAACATATTAATGCCGATTATTACCATGGGTAAAGTAGCATATGATTCACCTTCTAAAATTATGGAAATACTCTTAAAAACATTAAGGTACTGGCAAATTCGTTCAATTAACGACCATTCTGTGTCGGTTGGCTTTAAAGTTTTTAAATTTTCTACATTATCACAAAGGATGTTAAGTGCGTTTCTCATATTTAGACTCCATCTCAACATGTCTAACGTGGAGTTCCACCTTGTTATGACATCAAGTTTTGGCATAGTAAATTTCAGGTTTAAAGTGGTGCAAAATTTTTCAAAATCTTCACGTAAATGTTGAGAGTTTTTCAATTTTTTAGCAAGGGAATGGATTTTTCTTACAGAAGAGGGCGGAACTTGGCAGTCATCATCATCATCATCTGATATATCTGTCAAAATGTTGGCGGTTTCTTCAACCTCAGAATCAAGGATTTTCATAAAATCTCTAGCTGCCAAGTTTAAGATGTGTGCAAAACATACAAAGTGGATATTTTTTGTATCTATTTCAGAAATATGCGTTTGAAGTTCTCTGATGAACGTAAAATTACTATTTGTATTGTCGATTGTATGCATTTTGTAACATCGTAGAATTGTAATACTTCGAAAAATACCTTTGCAATTGCATTACCAGTATGTTGCCCATGTGCTGGCACAAAATCTAGAAGGATACAATGAAGTTTCCAATTTTTATCGATAAAATGGGCGGTAATACCATAGTACCCCTTCATATTAAAAGAAGACCATCCATCGATTGTGAACGAGATTTTTGAATTAATGTTTTCAAAAATGACTTAATTGTTTGCTGCGCTGCTGCAAATGTTTTTAATGTCAAAGATTTCATTTGATTCCGACCAGGTAGAGTTGCCTTTGGATTTAGGAATTTGTACATTTTTCCACTTATAGCATCTTCAAAAAAGTTGAAAGGGAGATACTTCTGTGCTATATATTCCACAAGTAGTTTTTGAAATTTGTCTTGTTGAAAGTTTTCTGAACAACTAGTGGTCTGCAAAATAAACAAAACTGGAGTTAGTGAAATGCAGCGCAAGGTGCATGAATGTTTACGTCATAATATCCCACTTTTAAATGAAAAAGTAAGTAATTTTTTGAAATGCCCTGTATAAAAATTTATAGCATGTCCCACAATTTTGAATAGAATGTCTTAAAGTCAATATAGATTTTTGTAAATATGCTCTGATGAGTTTTATTGATGCAGGGTGCCCAAAAACTGCTGCACCGACTTCAAAATCAGAATTTTAAATGAGACATCATTACACAATTATAACAACAAACAAGAATTATGTTATATAATAAAAAAGCGGTTCTAAATTAGAAGTCGACAGTACTTCTTATATTTAAAAAACTTTTAGAATTGTTATCCGAAAGTTGTAATTTTTTCGGTTCAAGAGCCGCCTTTTATTTAATATTTTGATATTTCGCCTACCTCGATATTTATTAATAATTTATTAAACCTTTTTAATATAGAATGACTTTTAAAATCAAGGAACCTATAATGATTATAATAAACATTATAAAACTATAAGTGTGGCTTAAAGTGAGGTGATCCGGATTTTGGAAAAAATAACTTTTTAAGGGGTTTTCATGATCAAGCAATCCAAATTAGGCATTTGTTTTTTTCTACCATGATTCCTTTATGTGTTTTTTTAAAGATTTTCCAAAAATGGATGAAGTTGGAAAAAACAAATGAAGGATTCTGGTGCAGCACTTTTCGGACACCCTGTATAAATAAAATTCTAATAGGTAATTTAATTTTTTTGATTGCCAAGAATCTTTTATATAATTATTTTTTTCTACACCCTGTAGTTTCTGTATGCTGTATGCTTACGCCCCTAATAAAATGCCCACCCTGTACAATTATTTACTATTTAGTTTCAGCTCAAATCTAATTATTATTAATTTTTTACCTTCTCAAGCCAATTTGTAATTGTGCTACGCCTATTCGAACTGGCAGAGGCTTCTGCTTCTGATTTAGGTGGGCTAGATCTACCAAAAATGTTTTCGTAGACTCTAGTGTGTTTAGCTTGCAAATGCCTCCTTAGTGAAGATGTTCCACAGTTTTTCATTTTTAAAACTGTATTTTTTACGACACATAGGGTACATTTGCCTTGTTTGTCAGTAGTTTTCTTACTCTTAGGATCCTGCTCGATTATGAAGTAATCCTTAATTTTATTCGTTTTATTAGCTTTAACTCGTTTTTCCTTTGGTGGCACCGACCCTGCACTTTCTTCTTCTGGTTCGGTGTCATCAGATTCTGACACTTTTTCATTTACGATATATTCTGAGCCGCTGCTTTGAAAAGGTTCCGACTCCATTTCTGACAAATCACTTCTTAAATCAGACATAATAATTCTTTTGCGGTCGCCCTTTATCCTTGAACAACGCTGCTCTACTAATCGCACGAGCACGTCCGTCGTCATCGAGTGCCTGCTTGCTGTGTGAATCCCCTATTTAACCTCGGTGAATCCCCTATTTTAACGCTTCGATGCGCATTTCACAGATCTACTATCAAGTAATATCAAGTAGTTTGATTTTACTTGATATCAAGTCAAGTAGTTCAGTCCAAAAATCAAGTCAAGTCAAATATCAAATTTTTAAAAGCTTGAGTTTTCAAGTCAAGTCAAGTCTTTAAGAAAAAATTGAAGCTACTTGTCTTGATGAATCTCTATCTGTATTGTAAAAGCCAGCATTACGCCCTAACATAGAGTTAAAAGCAATCCGTATCATTGCAGTTTTGAATGCGATGAAGAGGAGGAAACGGTAATCAAGCTAGAATGTAGTGGTTGTGCTGCAAAAGAGGGTGGCTGTAAGCATCGTGTAGCGCTATTAATGTGGCTGCACAGAAGAAGCGAAGAACCACCATGCACTTCTGTGAAGTGCTACAGGACAAATGCCAGATTATCTACTAAATTAGTAATCTAAAATTGATAGAAGCCTCTCAGATGATTACACATTAAGCCCACACTTGACCGACGCCTATGCATCGCCGCATCGGCACAGACAAGGTTTGAAAAGTGTTCCCTCTATAGCCACAAGATGATCACTATACAAAAAAGTACTCACATTATCTCGAAATGAAAGCAATAATCAAATCTATTTCTGTTCTCCTTTAAACCATTTATATTCTTTACCTTATCATGCGAGGCATACAGACTAAGACTAATAATAATTATTATTGCTACCAATTATAGCATTGGTATTAGCTAAATAGCTGCTTACAACAAAATGGGATCCACAGCAAAACAACGTTGATTTTTCCGACAGTGGCAATTTATCGTCACTATTCATTACCTGGCCCCACTTATTTCCAATACTGCTGATATGCTAGTATTTGTACACCTAGGTACAATGAAATATTTTTCGGTTGAAGGTTTGACCCAGTTTTTACTCATTGTTAATAATAGGGGGAAGCGTGTGTGGCGCGGCGCGGCGGGTGCATCTCCTTGCAGTGTTGCTGGGCTGATAAGCTTCCATCATGTGACGTCACCACTCACTCGCACGGCCCACCACACGATTCTCCAAATAATAAACTTCTGACTAGCGTAACTTTGTTATTTTTCAAGATATTCAAAAAAAATCAGCGCTGTTCGTCATTTTACTTAGACTATCATTTGAAAAATAGGAAACTTCCTCATTAACGATTCGGTGGAAATTGGCTAGGAACCAACGGACCAACCCGTTGGCCTGAAAGGTCGCCAGATTGAACCCCTCTGGATTTTTCAATTTGGGGCTATTTAAAAGAAAAAGTTTATGCCACTCCTCCACCGTCTCTAGAAGTACTGGAAAATAGAATTAGAACAGCCATTAAAAACATATCTCAAAAACACTTACTAAAATTGCTTATAGAAAACACCAAGAGAGTCAGGTTATGTCACTAACTCGGCGGCCAACGCATTGAACACTTAACGGTGCTCTTACAATCACGAGCACCATCTGCTGAGGTATCGGGGGGGGTGAAAAGGAAACGAGGGTGGGCTAGTCTTAGACGGCCGTCGGCGCTACTTTAAAAGAGGAAAGGTTGATTGCGGGTGCGTACCGAGTTAAATTTTTATAACAGAGTCGGATTTCGATTAGCGATCTAGCCTGTAAATCGTTTCCTATTTTGGTACTCAGCAAGTGATCATTTAGTACCCTGGTTGCTGTTCGTCGATATTGTGTTATTGAATTGTTGTGCTGTACTCTTGTTGGTGTGATTGTTTTTTATCAAGGTTGATAATGGACAATAATAGGTCATATGCGACAATTAGAATTAAGATTCAGTGAGTTTAACCATGATGAGGACAACAATAGTGTGGAGCAGTTCAACTCTATAATCGCAAAATACATTGGGGTAAGCGAATAAATTATTGCAAGATGTGGAAGATGTGCTGCAGCTGTAATGAGCCACAATACCAAGCGGCCTGTCTATGTGGGCCAAATACATTTGCGTTCTAAGCTTAGTCCAACCTCGCTTATCACTAAGATAGAACAAAGATTCAAATGCAAGAATCTTAGAAAGAAACTCTGACCAAAAAATGGTGATATAAAAATAACTAACAATTCCGATAGCAATTCCAAAGAAAATATATAATAGTTTCATGGCGAATTCTGTCAAAAACCTGACATGAACGACATTGATTTGGAGGTTGCTAAGCAAGAATTTTTAGGGAAACTTAGAAAAAGTGACGACGAGATTTTGCATATCGAACAAGTCACCAAATCACAGGACTGAGCTTTGTGGCGTCTTCATCGGAGGATAAGGTTGACAGCATCTCGATTTGGTGAAATTTGTAGAAGAAGGCAGACAACAAGCTGTAAAGTTCTAGTAAACTCCATCATATATCCAAAAGAGGTTTCTAGTAAAGCAATAAAAAAAGGCAATTCAAAAATCCATTTCTGGCAGCATCACCTCCATCTACCTATTACAGTAGATAAGACATGTCCTTAATCCAGGTATAAACCTACCTGTTTATTGCTTTGCAAAAACTACCTATCTGTTTCCTCTTATTTTGATGGCATAAGATATTTTTATGACCCTCGTTCAATTGTTACCATTTATCACACGACCCTTGTAAACATAATTGTGTTTATTGACATGAATAAACGAATTTGAATTTAAGTTCTTGAACTTATTTTAGAAAAGATATAAAATTATTTGAATACATTTTATCTTAGTCGGAACGCATCGTCGCGTCGCTTGGATTGACAGGACGAAACACTAGATGAATTTTGCCCAAAAACCGATTTGCAGTTCACAGCTTACTTTTTATTATTTCCAAATGAAACCCTTGCAGCGTGCTAAAAACAAAGTCCACAGGGTGCCAGCGATCCACTTTTTCGATTTTATCCACTAGGATCTTTTTAAATTTCAAGAAGTTGAGCACAAATAGTAAGCAGTTCAACCCACCATAATTCTTGGGCAAAGACAAAATTTTGCAAAAGCTCTGAGAGCACCCTAGGTAATTATGGCCTGCTTATATCCAGAAAAACATCACAAACTGCACAACACAAAAGGTAACTGCGAAATGGGTACATTTCACGGATTATGAAATTCAAATGGAAATGCAGGTATAAAATCTACCAAATGATCGTTCTCAAAAACATATTTCCTTGACATATCGATAATTTTAGTTCCACGCTATATATATATATATATATATACTTGACTGGAGTGATATCCGAATTTATTCTTCGCTACTGTCGGTAGTTGCAGATCTGTTGGCTCTTGGTGTCAAACCTATAGAGCAGGTACCGATTTTTTCAAATCGTGAGCACATTATTCGTCGGATTTTCGATACTTAAATTTCCTGTAATTACTGGGATCAGAAGCTTCTTAGTAATAGATCGTGTTTCACTGATTTCAATCCCCCCTTTTTAAGCAGTACAATTTTTTTATGTCAATGATTAGGAACCCCAGAAACGTCAAAAACGAAGTTTCAGCAATTGAACTTTTTCTTTTTTGCCTATAGCACCGTTGCCACTGGACTAAAACTACAAAGCTTTGGCATACTAGTAACCCCGTGTGGAAATTTCATAAAAATCCGAGCGGTAATTTCCAAGTTGATGATGAATGATACAGTCTTCCGTGATGTAGATGTCATATGACTTAAATCTCATTTTAGAAATTTTTCGCGATTACAATACTTCCTCGCCAATGACGTGGGAAGTGAAACGGCTTTAAAATCGAGGAGTATCAGCGATCCCGATTATGAGTACACTATTTGCAGAACGACTTATCTATGCGATATTATATGAAATAGGGCCACCAAGTTATCTGATTACGTCCTTTCTTAGTCCGTACATGTTGCCGCAACGCTTGGGTTGGCAGCACGAAACGGTAGACAAAATTCGTCCAAAATACGATTTGTAGAGGTTTGCGCGCTTCGAAATTGACGCTTTATTTTTTGATATTTTTGGATGAAATTTTCACAGAGTGCTAAAAACAAAACCCCACAGGGTGCTATAGAGCCACTTTTTCATTTTTTTCACTAGGTTCTTTTTATGTTGAAGTTGAACAGAAAAAGTGCGCACTTTAACCCATCATAAAACTTGTGCAAAAACAAAATTTCAAAAAGTGCTCCTATAGCACCCTGAGCAGTTTTCTTCTCAACATACTGTATGAATTTCATTAAAAAATATTGAAAAATGGAGTGTCAGTTTTGAACCAGCTTAACCCTTGTAAATGGCTTGAAACTCACTGCGTCGGAGCCGCCTTAATTGAATGATTTTTCATAATTTTTAATTAGTATTTCATCTGCTAAGTTATTTCTTATTTAGTTACTTTTGTTACTTAGTTTTTACTATGCTAGTTTCCGTTATTGTTCTTGTTATCGTTACAAAGAAAAAACACAAAAGAAACGTACTAGTATATCTAAAAGTCTTGTTTCATACTCACTTCCGGTCAAACCGGATGCGATATT